ATAAGAGAAACTTAGGGTAGTTGTAGTTCTGTGGCAAAATTAGCTGATAGTGGTACCTTTCTGCTTCCCACCATCACATCCTGAACATCAATTCCCCATGGAGGCCAAGATAGAATGGATGGATGGTCAGGAGGCACACTGGTCTTATGAGTGGATGAAGTAGGAGCTTGCCTGTAAAAGAGGATAGCAGGAGTCATTATGCCCTCCACGAAAATAAGATAAAATAAAATATACTTTCACATTTCTCATCAAAATGAGAGTTAATATGGCAGAGTTTGCAATTGTTTTTCCTTGATTAAAAGGCAAAGCCCTGGGAGTTATTAAACCTTAACCATTATCTGCTATTTCAGGTGAGTCTGTTGGTTTCTTTTTTGAAAGAATGCAAGAGATGTAACGACTTGTTTAACGTCAATATTTCCTAGGAATTTTTTCATTATATTTACCTTTATTTGTATGTTCAATTTTAATTTTAACCTCAATGGCTGATATCAAGTAAGAAATCAATACAGTAATGATCAGAAGAATTCATAAGAATGTATTGACCTTGAGTTAGACAAGACAATGCTTATTCAAGGAGCAAAATCCCAAAGGTTAAATCCATATATCTAAATTCAAAATTGTCTTACGCTAAAATAACAATAGCAAATGTGTAATAAAGGTGAATAATTACTATTCAATAGCACATTTCTTATATTTACATAATTTAATGTTAAAAGAAACACATAGACCTCTTTCAATCTACACAATAAAAATGCTCCAGCAAAGTTGGTAATGAAGTAAATTTCTGAGCTGACTAAAATTATAAATTATAAATTATAAATTTGGACATCTTTTTTTTTCTGGAAGAAAATGAGCTAAGTTTAAAGTCTGCAAATGGCTTAAGATCTTAAATGGCTTAAGATAGTGGTCAAATCTACAGGTATTGGATTTTGTATAGATAGAAGCGATTTCTTCATCTTTCAGAGCAATTCAGTTCCATTGAACAAATAACAAGAGTCTAACAGGTACTGTGGGGAATTAAAAAAGTGAGTAGGAGACAGCTTCTTATAAAACAGTAGAAAAGAGAAAACAAAGCTCAAGCAAAATGTGTTAAAAGCTTGGTGAGTGGAGAGAGGGTGATGATTATTAGAAGACATCAGAAAAAGTATCAGGAAGGAACTAAAATTTTGATGCACCATGGAGGACTGTTAGAACATTTGCCCATCTGAAGGAAGAGAACATAATTTTGGGGAGTGGTTCTGAAACCTTAGGATTCACAAAAATCTTGTGTGTGTGTCGAGAGGTTGGTTGTTATTTCATTCTGTATTAGTTAGTTATGGCTACAATGATGTTTAATAAAACACCCAAAAATGTAGTGGCTTAAAACAACCATCCCTTAATGTCTCTTATGATTATTCTGGGCAGTTCCGCTCATCTGAGCCGGGTTCAGTTGATCTCAGCTGAGATCCCTCACGTATCTGGTGTCATGTGGTGGGTCAGGTGGGGGCTGTTGGGACTAGGGGCAGGGGTCTCAGCTGGTAAACTTGCTTCCTGTGATCTCCAAATTTCCTTTAAGTTACCCTGGGCTTTTTCACCTTGAGAAGTAGGCTGAAGCTGAATGACTCTTGAGACCTTCCCTCAAAAGTGACATATAGGCACTTCTGCATTCTATGGGCTAGTGCAAGTCTCAAGCCAGCCATTTAGGAAGTAGACTCCACCTTTTTATGGGATGAACTGCAAAGTCACATTGTAAGGGCAGGAGTAGAGAAAGGGGAATGGTAGTGGTCACACTTGTAATTAGTCTACCACAGAGGCTTCTTCATTTTGATTGAAATATGGAGTAGGTGGAGTGAAGTTATCTGGAGATGTAGGCTGGGGTTAACCTGACATATTTATTTCAAATTTAGGCAGTAGTGAGGAAACACTGAAGGGTTTTGGGCTGGGGAGAAACTTTCAGAAGTCTGGCTCTAAGAATAAGCTTATGTGGATATGGTAAATAGAAGCAGAAAATGGGAGAAAGGATATGTTTTTCAATCATGTAGATGGAAGTTAATAAATGTTCAAATCAGTGTGGTGTTAATGGGTGCAGAATCAAGGGGCAAAGTAAGAAACTTCCTTCTAAGGAGACTGACCTTATAAGACCACTGATACGATTACAGGCATGATGGGCTGGTAGCACCTCCTTATGCTTTCCCTTTTATTCCATTCTCAAATATTCAACACATCTCCCATTATTCCAGTTCAGAGCTCCCAGAATTTATTGTCAATTGTTATATGCTAATATGGCATTCATAACTGGTAGAACATACAACCATACAGAGATGTGGGACTGAGACCCATTGCTTTGATCTAACATTCTAATGGAGCTAAGCTTTCTTATCGCATCCCAGACTGGAAGTTTTTCAGAGATTGAGGGATTAGTTAATTTAGTAGTTTTTTTTTTTTTTTTCTCCCAGTGATTCCATACTTCTATAGATCTCTAATTTTAAAATTTGTAAAACATTTATTGAAAATGAGATGAGGTTGAATGAATACATTTTCAGTTTTATTTAAAATCAAATAAATCTGTGACTGATGTGAGAAAAATGGTCTAGAAACCACATAAAGTTTAATGAGATAAAAACATAAAGATCCTAATACCTAATTATCTTACCTTGAAATAATTAAAATGTAAAGGATACACATATTAAATAGTTGCACAGCTGTAAGCATTACACAGTACACATAATGAAGTCATAAAACATTTTATACTGCTTTATTATAAATAATTGGAAACAATATTTCATTTTTTCAAACCCAGATAACAAAACAGTAAATATCATGCTTTCTTTTTTTTTTTCATTATTTCATTTTATTTTTGTAATATGAGTTGGAAAATAGTATTTATCAAAAGACTGGTAACAAAAATCTGTAGGAACACAAAAGAACAAAACACTCACTTTCATTCACTTAAATGAAAACAATCAAGAAGGACTTTAGAGGGAGAGGCTGAACAGTGCTATGAAGGAGTCACCAAGAACTGAACAACTGCATAATATGGGAGAATGTCACTTGTGAGGCAAAACAGGGTTGTTACAGATGCATAAACATGAAGACTTGATGGCAAATTTAAAAACTATTTTCCTAAAAATGGAATAGCTTTATTCTCTCAAATAGAGGAAATCTATATTGTTGCCTTGAACAAGCTTATTTTTCTAAGAAAGGACACTTAATATGTATTTCAGTTTTCTTACCTCATAATAACTCACATTTTGATAAAAATGCTTCACTACTGTAACCTTGAACACTTAGAGGCAGTGTTTATTTTTGATAAAATACTGTACTAAATTCAAATTGCCACAAAATTCACTTAAGATAGATTATCCCATAGGAATATTTTCATTGAGAGAATTATAGTAGCTAGAAGTCACAATTTTTTAGATAACTGATTAATTTTCTCTTTTGGGGTGTTTTCCTTATGTTTAATACAGAATTTTGACAATTTTCTCCACTAAATAATTTTTTAAAAATCAGAAGTTGCTTATGAAAACAGAGCCTGAGAGAGAAAAACGTGAAGAAATAATGTAAAATAGTATAGTAGATTTCTTTCAAAACTTGTGTTTGTTTGCTTCAATGAAGGACAATCTTGCATATTCCAGATTAAACAGCTATTAGGTTTACCATGGATATAAACATGCTACGTACAATGGTATTTATAATTCTTCTTTTATTTTTATAGACTTCAAAGTGTATCTCTCCTAGAAACTGGAACAGGGTGAATCTGGAAAACATGTTTCACTTAATTAGCAAAAATTAAATTAGCATGAAATAACAGAATGAAGAATTGAAATGGTGATTTTAAAAATAATGAAGTTACGCTTAAGTGTACACATGCAAGAAGATATTGTAAAATGAACTGTTCCAGTTTATTTGGTTTTACTCCAACTGAATATACTCTAAAATACTGGTTTCATGTATAATATCAAAGGAAATATTAAATGCATGTATATTATTTTAAGAGCTTGATGGTATATTTCACATTCTTTAAATTTTACTCACGCTATAAATATATTTATATGTCACTCAGTTTTTAAAGTAAATGAAAACTGTAGCATGGGGGTAATTTTTTGCTTTATATGTCCATACTTGATCATGTCTATTTCTTTTCTGAAAACTGTATCAAAAAATCAGAGTACATGGAGCATGTTTCTAACTCACACTATTATTCTTCATGCACTACAAGTCATTATGGTTTACCAAAATGGAATTTACATTTGAAGATGGGTTAACTGAAATCAACTAGTAAGTATGACTTAAGAGTTAGGCTTCTGAAATCCATTAACATTTAACCAACTTAGAGGGCAATGCTATTATTCTTAAACTTTTATCAAAATTGTGCAAAAGTATAAACTGATTTTTAGTAGGTTTGCATAGAAATAACACCATTTCACTTGTGTGATACATCTTTTCCAAAGGATTACGGCAGGCCTGTTTGTATTTTTCTTGTATATTCTTTCTTTGTTGTTGTTCATTTCCCTCCTTCTCCCTTCTCCTCCTCTTCCTATACCTTCTCTCCTTCTTCTTCTCCTCCTTCTTCCTCTTCCTCCTCCTCCTCCTCTTCTTCTTCTTCTTCTTCTTCTTCTTCTTCTTCTTCTTCTTCTTCTTCTTTTTCTTCAGTTTTTATATGAAATTAACCATATTTATCATCTGGCTACCATAGTTCTAAAATAAGATCCAGTAGTAGTTTGAAGCACAGTGAACTGAGCAGTTTCTTCCCTTTTTAAAACATGATGGTGAGTGGCATTCCCCACAGTCAAGACTTATGAACACGATTAATCCCATCTAGAGACTTTTGTGAACTCTAAAGGCTCCAAGTCCACAGTCAAGAACCTTGGTGACTTCACATAAATGCCACTTGTGGCTGGAAGGGAGACAATATTGTTTGCTTCAGAAGTTTTCAAGCAGTTTCGTATCTGGTAGCTTCAGATTTTTTTTTGTTGCTTTTATGACTCCTTTCGACATTATGCCTTCAAAAGTCCAAAGGTCGAATCATCATAGTTGTAGAACGTAAGGAGTAACTGGGCCCTTTGAAGTAGTGCCACTTTATCCCATTCAGTTTTCCATGGTTTTGTCCAGCAGTATAGAACATTCCATTTAGATTGGATGGGCCACAAGCATCAAACCACCAGCCTGAAAAATTAGTTAATAATGAAAGAGAAAAGAAGGAGAAGAAACAATTATAAGTAAATTGAACATCTGGAAATTAGTGCAATTAACCAAGGTGGAATTCATTTATACTTGTTATGACCATTTGCAAATACGAGGCATTCAACAAAAAGCTTCTGGGTAAGTGCAACTGTTTTAAGCGACATCCAATTTAGGCAATGTATGAGTAGAGAGGAAAGCTTCCATGGAAACCAAGCTTCAGGGTCACTCCATTGGGACTCATTTCCCATTGTAATGATGGGAAACTTCTGGGATTCAAGATAAGATCTATTTCAGACCTAGATTTATATGTAGGGCAAGTAAAATGCAGATACCCTTAGTCATTCCATGTTAAGCTCGTTATTAGGACTAGAACAATAATTAGTGAGGAAGTTCAGAAGCTTTGACAACTGATATCTACATAGAGTGAAAGAAATGTTCTCCATCTACTTCATATTTTTGCCAACAACTGGCCCTCAGCTGCTTCTGAAACTAATTGGATACTGGGCAATGACTATGATGCACAAATTGAATTTGAATTACTATGTTCTCCCTATATTTTACAGCAATATGAGAAGTGTTCATCAATAGTAGCCATACAGTGTCTATACAGCAGTATTTTTTTTTTCTGTGATTGTTCAAGCTCTTTCAAAACTTATTAAAAAGAAAAACAACTTGATGAGCAACATGGAGATCCTATGCTTGTATAGTTCTCTGTAAGGGTAACTTAGTAATTTATTTTTTTAATGAATTAAGTTCTTAGATTTTTAGATAAAACATAGTACTTTTTCTCTGTCTCCTGAAGTAACACTACTGAAATCTTTAGGGAGAGATCTATGCCAGAGACATTCTGGCATATTTTTATTTGGATACAGCTGACCTCCCTTTGATTACAGAGTTATACCTAAGGGACTAATAGCTAAAGAAAGAGAAAGCTGTACAACTGATGTTTAACTGATGTTAACTTGTGTATAACACAAGCATCATTTTGCAGAAACTTTAGAAAAAGTTAAATGGAGAAAAGCTTGTTCTCATTTTTCAATTTTGGAAGATGAATACAGCAAGGTTGTGTTTATAAAGTCATACTAGAGACATAGCAAGCTGTATTAATCACAGTGCATATTAGAGAAGAATAAGGTATGTCTTGAATTTGGAAAGACTGTATTAAATGCTATTTTTCCAACTGTATGCAGACAACATAGATGTTAATGCAGTCAAAACATGAGAAATGAGAAAGTTCTTGTTTGGCAAGGAAGGAAGAAATGTAAAATTCCACATTTTTTTCTTAAGATTAATTCCTTTAAATTTTTTTGATAAATACAACTAGTAAAAATATGTTATTTGTATTACAAAAAGCATTCTAATATTAGGGAATGCATTTACCCTAAAGACTCTCAAAACACCAAATGAAACCCAACTTGATTGCTCCAGTGTTTCAACTTTCTCCTCCTTTTCTCTGACCTTCTTGATGCACTCTTCCATCTTGTTAATGATCCTTTCATAGTGTTTCAAATATCCACCATGGTCTCTGAAGGAAAGGCAGCTACTCTATTATTAGGAACTTCTATGAATCATAGAATGATCCTCCAAGTTACATTAGGTACTCGAGGTAAAAGTATGTATTTTTGTTTGGTTTAGAGAAAGTCACAAGAGTTCTGGACAACTGTGGGAAGACAGAAGTCTGTTTCCAACAGCAGCCTGGCAATAAAGGGCACAGGCTGAAGGGTAGATTCATTAGGAAATTTTGGATGAGTTTAGCAAAGACACAAGAAACAGTAGGGGCACGTGAGAGAATCAGACAAATTGATCTTCTATATTTTTTCTGATGAGTAAAGGAGGGTAATGTTTGTGGTAAGCGGAATGGCATTTTGGATATCTTGAAAGAAGACCATATGGCTGGGTCATAGTTAACATGAGAAAATAGCAGCCTCAAGCTGAGAAGGTCAGAAGATCAAATCACAGTCTTTTATCCAATATCCTAAGAACAATGTAAAGGTATGGTCTATTTACAGGCCTACCTCATGTACTTAGCACTGTACCTAACAGTTTGCTTAACAAATGACTAGGGGAGTGACTATAAGCTTACTGACAGATTGGCTGTTTTTGACTATTTCTCTTTGTAAATTTTCAGAGTCTGAAGTAGTTTAGTTTACTAAAAAGTTATATTTGATAGACACCACAATATATAACATCCATGCCTACTGTGTTCGTTCATTCATTCTTTATTTATTCCTTCAATATGTAATTATTGTGACTGTTGTTAACACAATACTCAATAAGACAGAAGTGGTCCCTCCCTTCATGGAACTTACTTCTCATGTGAGGAACAGACAAAAAGCAAGCGAATAAGTAAAATACTTACGATACTTCATGATTTAAAAAAAGAAGAAGAAAGAAAAGAATCAAGGAGCTATGAAGGAGAATAAAAGGAGACCTACTTGACTTTTCACATTCACAGAACAAGCTGGTATTTAATGAGATCTGAAGGATGAGAGGGAGGCAGCCATGTGAAGATGTGGAAAGACTCTTTTAAGCTGAGTATAGCACATGCCAATGTTCTGAGGAAGAAGGAGAGCTTGACATGTTTAGAAACTAAAAGAACATCAGTGTAGCTTGTTCACTGGAACATAGTGAACACGGAGGAAACTCTCAGGAAATAAAGGTAAAGAAACAGGCAGTCTTGGTGGAAAGTTGAACAACGTTCATGGAAAACTTTAGAGTTTATCCAGTCTACTTGTCCATCATCAGATGAATAAGCAAAACATTCTCTCGAAATAGGAACCAATATTTAACCAAGGGAACCAGATCTATCAGGCTGAATGTTTAATCAAATATTATTGAGAACCTTCATTCTGTAACTATGGTCTGCCAAAGTCATCCTGAGCATATGTGGCAGAATGATGAAGGGGAAAAAAATGATTTTAGAATCAAGTCAACAAATATTAACCAACAGAAAGATATAGAGGTCAGGGTTGAATAAAACAGAAATCCTGTCTTCAAAGACTGCACAGTTTTGTTCATGGGAGAGACAATAAACTGCTTAACAATGAGGTGAGGGTTGTTAAACAGAGAAGAAGGAAATCTACAGATACAGAGGCAGAACGTCCTGTCAGTGGGTCCACAAAGTTGACTTATTTACCACCTGAGCTGTGTCCTGAGAATGAATGTGAATTCACTGAACAGAAAGAAATTCTGAACACAGTGTGTACCCTGAGAGAGTAGGAGAGAGTGTCTGTCAGCAGCCTGGCTTGACTGGACTGCCAGTGGGTAAGGGGTTAGACAACAAAAGGCTAGCAAAATAAACAGGAGAGAGAACACAGAGGTTTTTATTTTATTTTCAGAAATTTTCTTGTGGGCAATGGAAAGCCTATAGTGTACCAGACAAGAAATTAGAAGATCCAGACTTTGATGCTGATGGCACCAGTTAATAACCAAGAGATCCTAAGCAGTAATAATAATAATGATATTTGATATTTATAAAATAGTTAATATACATTAGGGACTATGCTATAGTATTTATATGCATTCTCTTATTTCATCCTTCAAACAACCTGAGTTGATGTGGCAAGTACTGTAATAAAGACACTGATGCCTAGCAGTAAGGAGATGGTTCCAAGGTCATGGTCACTTAGTTCCTCATTCATAAAATGTGGTTTATAATGTCTGGCCAACCATTTTCCCAGCATAGTCATATGGCCCAAATAAGATGACACATTGACTATTCGGTCCTGTAGAATCCTAAATAAGTGCTTAGTATAAGTTATGTGGAAAGGAAGATGGAAGGTTTAGGGTAGGAACACAAAGGATTACATCTTGTGGGGCAGGCACCATAATGATTTAATAATAAAGACCAGGTCATCAGTGCCAACATATCTCCTTATTTGCTTGGTAGGGTCTCTTAGAGAAATATGCAATAATTTGGACCCAAATGAGTAAGTTGTGCAACGTTTGCATTGTAAAAACAATGGCATTTAAGTAACTAACATGATTTGAACAATTGTTTTCAGTGATTTCTTTTGACATCATGTTGAAACCAAAGACCTTAATGTATTTGACGCTTTATCTTAAGACCAGTGGGCCATGCACATAATGGACTATCACAGAGCAGTTGATGATAATAAAGATGACGAATTAAGATGGCACGACACAAAAAGAAAGGGTGATTATTTCTCATGACAATTTTTGTTGCAGTGTCCTTTATAAGATATTCTGAACTACAAGGAAACAAAAATAGTTATTTGTGTGCAAGTAAGTATTCCATTTCCTCTGACACATGCAGTAAAACAACAAAGGAATTTCTACTTTCTACTTTTCTTTGAAAAAATTGAACATGGCCAGCTCTTTTAAACATAAATCCTGAAAAGACAAGGTTTTAAAGCATGATTATAGAAAACAGGCAAAAGTATAGTGTAGTCCTTGTTACTCATATGTACTCCTTGGCATTCATAGATAATCCTGTGTGCTCCTGGGTAACCAGTACCTATGTAAATTTGCATGGAATGAAGGTGTTCTTTGTGAACATATAGAGAGTATGCCTGGGTTTGCAGTTCCTCTCTGATAAGATACCAAGTAGCTGAATAATAGTATATGTGCTTTACAATCTTGGGGAAATATTAACTCTGTGTGCCTAGGAATAACAAATGTGCAATATGCTAAAGAAGTTAATCTAGGAAAGACACTTTAAGCTTTAAAGAACGCAGTGATGCAAGCAAAGGACAGAAGAAACCAGCAGTGTCCATCTGCTGTTGGGACAACTGATAAAATGTCTCAAATGTTTTAAGATTGGCAACTGCTGGGTTGTACGTTGCCAAGCATTTTTCTTTATAACCTGTAACCTCATGTATATTTTAATAAGAAATCTGAGATGCATGTTTCTAATTCATTTACACTTAACTCATTAAAATTTAGCTTTGTCCTAACTATGCCTGGCTCTCCGGCCTTTAAAAATCATTCCAGTCTTTTATCTTTGAAGCAGAAAACTCACA